TAGCAGAGGAGGAATACAACTTCAGAGCACTGAGGGGAGAGGGAGTGGTTTGCTGATTTTTTTCTTTACATCTAAAATAAAACCCAGAGGAGGGGTGGGCAAAGACAGAAGGAGGGAAGAAGCAGAAGTGAAACAGAAGATAGAGTCATGAACGAAAATGAGAGAATCCAGGAAGATTACCACCCCTACCCCTCACCGCCCCCATACCTGTTCTTAGAGAATCTGAGAAGGTGGGGCTTTTGACTCTAATAATTAAAATTGCAAATGGCCTTCCTTGAAATCTGTCCTAAAATTCTGAATAGCTTTAGCTCTGGCAGCTGCTTTGGGACAGTTATTTCAGTGTCCCAGAGGAAAGATATTTTGGGGTTTAGTCCTTGCCAGAAATAAGAAGCCAAGGGAAAAGGAGAAACATTACAGAATTTCCAAAAATATTTTGATAGCAATGCAAAACTTTGTGGAGGCTTAAAGGAAAGTTAGAGTACACTCATTTCAAGAATGCCTACTGGCTTTGTATTTTGGCTAGTAGATTAATTATGTTATCCTATGTTGTCATCTGGGGAAGGGCAAGTTCACAGATACACATGTGGGAGTGTGTGTGTAAACGTGTGTATGCCATATGCCTGTGTACACTTATTTATACATTTTTACTGTTATGATTTGTATATGAAATAGGTAAGTTCTATTTAAGTTTTAAAATAACATATAAAAGAACTTTTCCTATTTGGAAAAGTGAGGGAGGTGACATCAGGTTCTAAGTCTGGCAGGAAAATGAAATAGGGAAGGCTTCAGTTAGTGATGTAAAGTTGGACTACACATCTCAAGAAACCAAATATGACCTACCTACCTATGGTCCTCAGGGCAGATGTGGGCCAGTGCTGCCTGGGCCATATGTGGGGACCTTTGGTGGGCCTGCTGGGAAGTAATGTGCTCCAAATAAAGCTTGATGTTTTCCTCCTCCAGCCCTCTACCCTCTACCTACTCCTGCTTCTCCTGCATTGCCTAAGCAAAGTCACTTCTTTCCAGTGCATCCCGGTGTTAGTGGTTAAAGGATTTTGTTCCTTCCCAGTGGCCCAGCAGTAAGGCTATTTTGTGGGTTCTTATTTTTAATGGGTTTAAGCTATTAGTTGTTCTGTAGTATTTTATTTCTTATAATGTGCTCATTTTCTCTACAAGTACCCAAGGGCTGTGTTACACAGGGTGCAATTTTAAAAATAAAATAATTATGCCCTGGAGGTTGGCAGATTTGGGCTTAAGAATTATTGCATTGTAAGGGCATCCCTCAGTTATGTGCAGGCTCATAAATATCTGCCCATCAGTCGGCTTGTCTGGGCAGCCAGATCTGTAGAATCAGTTTGCGATCAAAAGTACTAAAAATGGCAAAGCTTCGTTTATCTCAGCAAAGAAGGTCTTCATGCAATTTGGGACCAAGTAACAAACAATTTCTATGGTGTAAAATGAAAGTAGAGGATCTGATGAGACAAGATTTTCCTGCAGTCAAAAGTGTGAGCCCTTTTGTTTTTGTTTTTTAAAATATTTATTTATTTATTTGGTTGCATGGGGTGTTAGTTGTAGCAGGTGGGCTCCTTAGTTGCGCCTTGCTGGCTCCTTAGTTGCGGCATGTGGGCTCCTTAGTTTCGGCAGGGGGGCTATTTAGTTGCAGCTCCAGGGCTCCTTAGTTGTGGCTCACTGGCTCGCTGACTCCTTAGTTGCAAGCACATGGGCCCCTTAGTTGTGGCAGGCGGGCTCCTTAGTTGCGGCATGCATGTGGGATCTAGTTCCCCGACCAGGGATTGAACCTGGGCCCCCTGTGTTGGGAGCGCAGAGTCTTATCTGCTGCGCCACCAGGGAAATCCCGTGTGAGCCCTTTTGAAGGATGGGTAGCTAATACTGATTCTCACTCTGCTCCAGCACTCCACAACTGAGTAAATAATATCTTATCTGCTTCCTGAAGTGTATATTAGAAAATTCACCCCAGTGGCTCTTTTTTAAAAAAACTTTTCCCGACAAGGGAAAGAAATTGTATTTTTCATTTAAAAAAAAAAGAAAAGTTATTTTTATTAGTATGATTATACCTGTAGGAATGTGTTTCTTTGAATTTTAAAATTTTGATGTTGGTAACATGCAACCATTGCCCCTGCCCCCCACCCCCAAACAGAGTGTCAAGTTCATATTGTTGCTAAATTTAAGATTTTCATTAGGAAAATTTTCAAGTTTAACGTTAATTGACAATGATAATTAAAATCTTAGAGTTCTTTACAGTTTATAAAAAGCATTCATATGCTTTTGCTCATTTAATTTTCACAACATAGAGAGTAAGACGAGGCAGGTTTTACTCTCTCTACTTTATGGCTGGAGAGGTCAAGTCTCAGGAAAGTTAAGGGTCTTGTCCCAAGTCATAAAGCTGGCACATGAGGAATGTAAGTCTTCTGATCCCAACCCCATGCTCTTCTTTAACTGATAACTGATTAGTCTGGTAAGGACTGTTAAAAACTAATGAATTATGTATATGTGCCTTCAATCATATGGTTTCTTATTAAAGTTTTAAATGTTGTGAGGGTTCTTTAAAAGAAAATCTCAGCGGGTAGGCAAGCTCAAGCTTCCTATGGCTTCAGCTCCCTCTGTCCCATGGTCAGGTTTGTTGGCTCAAGCAACTGTTTTTCCTCATCCCAATATTGAATGAGATCTAGAAATATTCTCTTTCCTCTTAGCGGAGTCCAGCCCAGCTGTGACAACATTGGACCCTTTCAAAATTGGCTCACCCTAGTAAACTGAGAAAACAATTGTAAAAACACATACATGGATTAGTTTATGGAACACAGATTTTTAAATTCTAACTTAACTACAGTCTGGCCAATAGCTGCATTAGCTTTCAGGACAGACACCCAACTCCAGGTCCTGGGCCTTGCTTTCATCCTGTCTGGGGTGCTGGAGAGGATGTGATGCCAAGGTACTCAAACACATAAGCTAGGGTGGATTTCAGGTCTAACAAAATAGTCAGTCCTCCCTAGTATTATTCTTCAAGTGTGAGCTGTCTCTGAGTCTGTCCTGCTCCACCCCTGTTCTATATAGTAACTTTTGGCTCTTTTGGCCCGTTTGATCCCAAGAATTATGTTATTTATCATATGACAGAAAAGCACTAGACTGGGAGGAAGGGGCCAAGGGATAAGACCAGGTCCCCGTGTGTGACACTGGCAAGTCACTTTGCCTTTCTGGGTCTCAGTTTCCACATCTGAGAAGTATGTGGGTTAGACTGGATATCTGTTGTATTTTCCCCAACCTTTGTCCTGGAAGTCTCTCTCAGTAATCACAGATTTCCACTGGTCAGGCTGAGGTGGTGAGGAAAACGGCACGTTTAAATGTGCATATGGGAGAGGGTCAAGTTGCATCTGGGACCCAGAAATGTAGAGACCCTGCTTCTCTAAAGACTTAGGGAGCTGAATACAAACTCATTTGGGGTCCAGAGATGCAAATGACAGAGACAAGCAAGATAATGACCCCTAGGCCTAGAGAATATGCAAAACTACTGCAAGGATTGACAGATGATGCCCAGATAGGACTCTTTGCTGCTGGGATGTAAACTTCACAAGGGCAGGGATTTTCGTTCTGTTTAATGATGGATCTCATACCTAGGCACTCAAATATATGCTATTGAATGACAAATGAATACTTTAAACTTGTGATAAGCTAAATAAGCAATGTGAGAGTATCTAATTTATCGAAATGCATTCCCCCCAAAATGCCCCCTGTGCCCTAGGGCCGATCTCTGGATAATTCTGAATCACTAGCTAAGCTACTATTCATGTAGCCACTAATTGGCTTGGCCTTTCCTCCTTCTACTTGCACTTTCTCTGGTGTGACCCTTGCCTGTGGAATGGTTGGTCTGACATTTATGGCTCTGCCCATCATCAGTTAATAAACTTCCCCAGAAAAATCATACTGTATCAATTCAGTCATTAAGCTGAAATGGTTAGCAAGATCACACAATCCTCCAGACTTTGATTGTGGAGAACTAAGGGCATTGTAACGTGTGGGTGGATATGTAAGTAAGTAAATATTAAACTGAGACCAAGAGGAGAAAAAGAGGAGAGAGCTGCCCTGTCTTTGCGCGTGCCTCTCTCTGATACTCAGGGATGTGCTCAGAGCAGTTGAAAAATTCTCTGCTTGGTTTGTGTTCCACTCTGAAAACAGATTTAACTTCATAAAACAATTCCATTAACATCATTGCACATATAATAATGGCAGTCAGGGTTTCATGAACACAAGAAAAGCCCAACACAAATAGGGACCAATCCAAATAGGGTAACAGGGCTAGGAAAAACCTGGCAGCTCTTGCAAAACCTGCATAGAGCCAGGGCCAAAGCTCTGAACTGCTGTCCAGCCACACCTCCTGAGGCAGGGCTGTTTCTGGTTCACAGTCATTCCTCAGGCAGGTTCAGGCTGTTCTCTTTGGTTTATCTCCTCTTTAAAATTCAGTTCCACAACCTGATGATTTTGCTCTTCTGCTTAGTTCCTGTTAAGAGTTGCCTTTTTCTTTTTTACAAACCTCTGTTCCATCTGAGTCTGTGTCTTCTTATGAAAGATTTCCTCTTGGGTGTGTTGGCCAAGGCACTGAACTCATTGGTTAGCCCCGTGTGTTCCTCCCAAGAGGCATGTGGGTTTGCCTAGTTTGAGTTATACATGATCCTTGCCCTCTAAGCAATTTGCAGCCAAGTAAACAGATAAAGCAGGTAAATATTGGATAAGGTGTAAAGAAGTAAATCAATTAACTATGACAATATAAATTACAAGGAATACATTCAAAATGCTTAATTTACAAGAAAATAGGTTAGTTGCTTTTAATAGAGAGAGTAAAACAGTCTGGCAGATAGGATGGATTTGTGATCTGTTCATTCCCTCATCCAGTAATAACTAAGTAAATATGCTATGTTGGACACGGTAACAGAAAGAAGATGGGTAAGACATGATACCTACTCTCAAAGGTTATAGTTTGTAGAGGAGACATGACGTGTGCACATGCCTATCTAAAATACAAGGGGGAAAGTGTTCAGTGTTTCGAGAGGTACACCAACAAGGCTCAGGCAAGGGAGCAATACTTTTTGTCTGGGGAGGAGGTGCAGGTATTTGAGGTGGACTTGAAGCATAGGTGGGATTTCATATTTTCAATGTTTCACCAGGTCACTGATGCCTCAAGGTAAAAATAAGTCACGGTAACTTTTTCTGGCTTTGGTCCAAATCTACTATAGTGGCGTTCTAAACCTTACCCAATCTGCCTGCCCCAGTATTCTTTTGGCACTTGCCAGTTCTTAACCATTTGAGAATCCTATCCTCTTTTCAGCATCTGTGAAACTTTATAGAACCTATTTCCAGAGAAATAAACATACATACCCAGTTAGTTGCATGCGGTTTTCAAGAGTTCGTGGACCCTTGCAGCCTATTCTTGGATTCCCAGGAGTCCATGGTCTCCAGTTTAAGCATTCCTGATACAGGGCTTCCCTGGTGGCGCAGTGGTTGAGAGTCCGCCTGCCGATGCAGGGGACGCGGGATTTCGAGTTACTGAGATGGAAACAAAAAAAGCAAATGTATAAGGAGATCTCCTTAAATAAAGGCACTAACTCCATTGGCAAATTCTTCAGGAATGTGACTGTATTACTGCTCCCTCCACCCAGGACTCCTGTCTCCCATGTGCTCATCATGTTAGCTTTTCGAAATCAGGACTAATTTACCTGAGGTCCTTGCTTGAGGCTCCTATCAAAGTGGGGATGTCAGAAAAGCTCCCCAGATGAAAACGGGACCCCTTACATGAAAGACATGCCATAAAGGGATGAGGGGAGCCCCTGCAGTCCACCACGTGCGTACAACACCAAGAGTAAACCCTAAGGTCAGCTATGGACTTTGGGTGATTATGATGTCAAGGCCCCGTGCCCAAAAAAAAAAAAAAAAAAAAAAAAAATGAATTCCTGATGAAGACAGTCCCTGAAGTGTGGAAGCCATCAGCGTTCAGAGCTACGCAGCAGGGTCCTGCTGTCAGTGCATCGGGAGCTGTCACATACGGAAGCCACGTTGTATTCTCTGGGGTCCTCAGTGCTCCTGGTGCAGGCTGACCTGTGTAACTCTGAGGGCCAATTTTGGTTCCAAAGCAGTGCTCCTTGCTAGGGTGCACCCATGTGTACACACGCACACGCACACACACACACTATCAGAATGGGGAATGCATTTGTGCAGGGTGTACACATTTTTAAAAGTTTCTCTGGTGATTCTGATACCTGTGATGTGTCCCTCCACGCTCACTGCCTTAGGACGCTATTATCTGTGAGCCTCCTCCATCCCTTGTGCTGAGAAACTCCTGCCTGGCAAGTGCATCAGACATGCCTAGACAGATCTGAATCCTGGCTCTGAGCCCAGCTTAGGCTCAAGCTGGGACATCCCTCCACTCCCCTTCCATGCTGAATTAATATTGCAGCTGGATGGCAAAATAAGGTCACCAACAAGGAAACTCTAGAAAGCAGGCAGTTTACAAGTGTTAAAATATTTATCACAACTTCCTTGAACAGGGGCTGGGCTGGAACCTTTTAGAATCAGGGATGTGACCTGGGGTTGTTGGCTGAATGTTGAGTTGTTCTGACCTGCAGCTTCAGAATTAGACTGGCTTCTGGGAGTAGTGAGTAGGTTGGGGTGAAAACCACATCCCCTTTCCTATTTTTAATACAACTGAACATCAGTGTGGTATCTCCCTCAGGACCAAGGCTGGATTACCTGATGGGCAGAGTAAGCATGTGCGTCAGGCACCAGCAGTGCCCTGTCCCAGTTCCCACTTTAATCAAAGCTACATGGGCTCTTGTCCCCATCGGGATCCCCTTCTCAACTGGAAAGGGCAAATCAAGCAGAACTTTACTCTGGGGGTATAATGGTACCTCTTTACTCTGCAGGGCAATCTGTATCTCTGAAGACTTGAGGACAAACACCTAGTTCACATACTCCAGAACTTCCCAGGAATTTCTACGTTTCTAACAGTTACTCACAAACACCCACTCTATCTGGGTATTGGGTCAGGCACTTCAGAAAGGAACCATTGGCTTCCCTGGTGGCGCAATGGTTGAGAGTCCGCCTGCCGATGCAGGGGACACGGGTTCGTGCCCCGGTCCGGGAGGATCCCACATGCCACGGAGCGGCTGGGCCCGTGAGCCATGGCCGCTGAGCCTGCGCGTCCGGAGCCTGTGCTCCGCAACGGGAGAGGCCACAGCAGTGAGAGGCCCGCGTACCGCAAAAAAAAAAAAAAAGAAGAAAGGAACCATTTATGGTGAGTTTGTGGTAGGGAGATATTCTGGGGAATGTGTGAGGAGGAGGCCTTCCGGAGACCTCTTGATTCACAACACAAAAGCGACTATGTCTACTGTCTTGTGAACCAGGCCTTCTTCTTGCCTTATGTTTTTCTTTTCTATTTGTTTTTTCTTGGCTGAAATTTAATGTAAAACTTTTGCTGTCTTAAATGTTTCCATTAAAACAAATAAGGGAGGGGGAGAAGAAGACACTTAAATCTTTCCGGTTCTTTCTAATAACTTTCAGTTCTGACATTTGCCTTGAAATTGCATGACTTTAGGCAAGAGGAAGGGGAAGCAGGAAGAGAACTCCTGGCCTCCCTGAGCCTGACTTCGGAGCCCAGGCTCTCTCCTCCCTGTGCAGGAGCCAGGAGCCCCAGGGAAGGACTTGAAGGCAGGGGTGCTCACGAACAGTGGGCTGGGGAGCCTTACTCTGCACAACACTAAAGCTTCTAAAACAGATGATTTTGAGGTTTGGGAGCTTATTTGTCTTAAGAGGTGGGCTTTTTTTTTTTTTTTTTTTTTTTTTGTTTGTATTCGGGCCTCTCACTGTTGTGGCCTTTCCCGTTGCGAAGCACAGGCTCCGGACGC